CACACACACACACACATGCATGCATACAACAACACACACACGCAGTGCTTATTTGATTATTACTCAGAGAAATGTAACAGATATTTTATTTGTCGTATGCCTGTGTTTAAACTGGAAGGAGCAGAGCACAACATTAACAAGACCGAACATATGCATGTTTGCAGGATGTTCGAGGGCGTCTCCTCTCAGCCCAGTCTTCTATACAACAGTTAAGAAAGCAGCTTTCAGAGGCAGATTGGACTAAAAGAGACGCAGAACAGCGAAACCAAACTCTGCAGAGAGAGAAGGACGCTGCTCAGAGAGAGCTGGAGACCACACAGAAGGAAAAGGAGCGTCTGAAGCAGGAGAGAGATACACTGGCCAGGTTAACACAGTCTCATCACATTTAACAATCTGCTCCTGATCCTTACTTACTCTACAATGTGTTGTCCTACATGCATCTTGCAGTGATAAGGTGAACTTGGAGAAGACTGTACAGGCGGCACAGAGCAGCAAACAGATGCTGCAGATGGACTGCGAGAAGCTGCAGCTGACGGTGGCGTCCACGCAGCGAGAGCGTGATCACGAGAGGGAGGAGAAGGAGGCCGCCATTCAGGAGAGAGACCGTGCGAAGGCAGAGACTCAGAGGATGTAAGTAGGGTAAATAACAGTGAGTAAGTGAATGTGATGTAGACACTAATCCACAGTCTAGTCTGGTGTAGCCAACACACAAACAGCAAACATGCATGTAATCACCGGGAGCCATTCAGAAGTTGTGCATTAGCTTACGGAGCAGAAAGGTCTCCGTCTGTCGATACTAAAACCTCATTAACCAACATACACTTTTAAAAAGATCTGATGTAAACCCCATGAGGGCTCCTCTGACAGATGGCTGACAACAGTGTTTGGAATTTTTGGACACAGTACTTTCCTAAGAAAATACTCAAATAAAATACTGAGTCTATAAAACACTTGTAATTTTAATCTTCTGTCTATTTCCTGCAATAGTAGCCTAACTAGAATAGCATTCTATAGAGCAGGTACCTCTGCTAAGGCCCAACAGTCCCCGAATAAAACCACATTTAAATTCACTAGATCCAGATTATTTGGGCATCTGCACCGATTTCACACTTGCACTCATAAATATCAATCAATCAACTCCAGGTACGTTTTTTTAATCAAGAAACGTAGTTATTGAGTTATTCTCTGAGAAATCAATAAAAATGTTGAAAAACCCTTTATCCTGCAAATGATAAAGAAAGTGAAAAATAATTCCAGGAATCTGTTCCCTTAACTGGATCTGCACCAAAATAAACCCAGATGAAAACATAGCTTTCTTGGCGCAGGCAAGAAAATATTGTTATAGTTCTGCATTTGCATTGGTTTGATACAGACAAAAGCAGTGGGACCAAAGCGAGATTCGAGCGTCCACTCAGCGTGCAGAGTTGTCTACAGTGAAGGAAACTCACCAGCAGGGGGAGGTTGAGAGGCAGCTGCTGGAGAGAGAGAAAGCCCAAGTGTCTGAGGCGCTTGCCAAAGTGAGAAAAAGTTGATCTGGTTTAATTTTGTGTGTTTGTATTTTGTGCTCTGTTGAAATTTATGACGTTACTGTCCCTCCAGACTGAGAGCAGTAATGCAGAGCTCTCTCTGCTCCTGAACAAGCTGCAGTCTGAGGCCGCAGCTCTCAGAGACTCTCTGGCCAAAATGGGCAACATGAATGAGAGCCTGGTCCAGGATAAAACTGAACTGAACACTTGCATATCCCAGGTAAGGGAACTTCAGGGATGTGACCTTGAAATTAATCTGTGTGTATTATTTTCTTTTGTAAACTGCCACATTTGGCATCATACACTTTCATACACTTGGTCATTCTGAAATCAAATGTTTGTGAGTGATAAAAAGCAGCATTCCTAGTTGTTTTTTTATGAAGAGTTTAACATTTAGAATTCAGCTGCCTCAACAGGAATTAATGTGTGACTAAATTAGATTTTATTGAGTGGGCAACAAAATTAACCCTAAATTCTTACAGAAAAATACAAGAAAAGCCCATTTTCCTGAGTCCTTCCCTTTTCATATATATATGTATATATGAAACACAGAATTCTCGTGAAAATCTTAAAATAACCAAAACTGATTCAACTTTGAAAATTGTGTAAACACAAAATCTCATTGCTAGTAAAAATCTTTCCGGGCCTGTAATGTAAACGTCTCTCCCTCGCCTCTCTCTCAAAGCTGGAGGAGGAGAGGACCCTCCTGCAGGCTCAGAAACGCCAGGCGGAGCAGGAGAAGTTGACCATCAGGGACGAGCTAGTGCGATTGGAGCAAGACCGGCTGGAGTTGGACTCTGCGCGCATCACTCTGCACCAGTCGCTGCAGGATGCTGAGCTGAGCCGAGTGGGGATGGAGGCAGAGCTCCAGAGTCTCAGGGCTGAGAGACTTAAGCTGCAGGAGAAAGTCACCCAGGTACATAACAGAACATATTATGTCGTCATTAAAGGCCTGAAAATAACTCTTATGAGAGATGATGAAAGATGATTTGACTTCATTTCTAGATACTTTTTCACTCACTTTGTTTTCTGCTCGGCCTTTGTTGTCAGCTCTGTGGCGAGGTGACCTCTCTGGGGTCAGAGTTGAGTCTTACCAGAGGAGAGGGCCAGAGGAACGAGGTGGCGTTGGAGGAGGTTGGCCGCGGTCGGGCAGAACTGGCTCGAGACAAAGCGGCTCTCGTTGTTCAGCTGACGGCGTCTGAGAGAGAAAACACTGTGCTGTCGGAGGAGCTGGCTGCTTTCAGGTGTGCATCGTTGTTTGTCCACAACACATTAGCTGTCACACGTGTGAGTGGCTGTGTGTTGAGCTTTGTCTTTGCGTTACCCTGCAGGTCGGAACGTGAGTCCCTGGAGACGAGTCTGTTCGAGGTGCAGCAGCAGCTCGTTCAGGTGGAGTCTCGCAGAGAGCAGCTGGAGACGGAGAACCAAACCCTGCGAGTTCGCTGTGAAACTGCTGCTGGTGAGCGCAGGGAATAAAAGAATAAAACAGAGGAGAGAAAACTGAAGATATTTGATATAATGACAAAGCCAGTTGGTGAGTGATATGATACATTGTGGTTGAATTGTGTTTCCCTCTGTTTTTGTTTTCTTGGATGTGATTTCCAGCTGAACTGTGGCAACTTCGCTCCGACGGGGAGAATATTTTGACACAGGCCGAGCGGGAGAAACAGGCTCTGACTCAGTCTCTAAGTGCGGCACATCTGGAGGCCCAGCAGGCTTTACGCAAGGCCATCTCTGAACACCAGGAGGAGGTGGAGAGGCTGGTCTCAGAAAAGGTCAGAAGTGGTTCAGTGTGGTTCTTTAAGAGCTATTTGTGAATCTATTGGACATCTTGAATCAGGCTGTTCTATGCTGACGACTCTTTTATCCGTGTATGATCTCTTCTCTGGGCCACTTCGCTTCACAGGAAGTCTTGCGGCACAACCTGCTGATGGAGCACGAAGTCGCGCTGAGGAAGCTCCGGCAGGAGACGGAGGATCATCTTCACAGAGTGCAGAGGGAACGAGAGGAGCTGCAGGAGGAACTGAGGAGTCTCCAGCATGACAGAGACCAGAGTCTGCTGCAGGCCGAGACTGAGAAACAACAGGTCTGATCAGACTCCAACCCTGAGGAACTCCAGTAGATCTAGATTTTTATTTTGAAATGCACCAAATTGCTCACACTCATAGATATCAGTCTCTAACATATTGGTGAAAATTTGGAAAAACACTTATCTTGCAGTATTAAAAGAAAGTGATAAAAAAAAAATCTTTAAAAGACCTTTATCCAGATCCCAGCTAAAGTTCAATAGCTTCTCTCTTGGCCCATGTCCCATCCTTCCACCCAGTGTCATAGAAATCTGTACAGACAGGTCAGGGGTGAAAACAGAACTTCCTTGGCCAGGGTAATAAAGTGGAATCCTAATATCAGATAAACAATCCATACTTTCATCTCTTTGTTAACAAGACTTCTTCTTTCTCCCCAGGCTCTGTCTCTGAAGGAGGCAGAGAAAAGTGTTTTGTCTGACAGGGTGTGCAGTCTGCAGGTCGAGCTGTCAGCTGCATCCTTGGAGGCTGAAAGGATGTCCAGGGAGGCGGCGCATTACAAAGAGCAGGAGCAGGTGAAGGGAGTTCTTCCTGTCCGTATTTATCTTCTTTTGTTGTTGAATTAGTGTCAGTATTATCTAACACAAGCACATTAGACAGATTGACTAAAAATCTGTGTTGTTTTTTTTTATTTATTAATTTTTTTCCGCAGGTCAGAGTCGGCGCTCTGACCACTGAGCTGCTGCAGCTTCGCTCTCAGCTGGAGGACGCAGGCTGTGATCATGAACGTCAACTCCAGAGTCTACGAGAGACTTGTATGGACCTTCAGTCACGTGCTGATGTTGCTCTCAAAGAGGTAGATAATCCTGCACTGGACAGAAAGAACAGTTAGTGACTGCAATGCATCATGAAAAAAAAAAATTATCTTGATAGCTAATCTCAATACTTTAAAAACAAAAAATTTAAAAACTGATCTGTTCATTTACTTTTGATGATATTTTACTGAAGATGATGATACTGATACTGAGATATAAACGATCAAACATCTGTGGTGGATGTTCTGACTGTATTCACCATATTTTTATGCCTCAGTGCCGGTGATGGCCAGAGGCATTATGTTTTTGGTACTTTCCCATTCTTTTGAACATGATATTTGAAGAATACCTCGAGATTTTGGTAAAAATATTCACTTAGACTCACATATTAACTGATTCCATTTGGTTTGTCAAAGGAAAAGAATACGGTGGCCTCATGATTAAGGAATGTCTTAAAATTTTGACCAGTTTGTCTTTGGACTCAAAGATGAACTGATTTGATGGATTTCATTTTTGTGAATGCAATACATCAGAAACACATAGAGGTACTGAGACACCACTGGATCACGAAGGCATACAACCTCATTTGATATTTTCGCCCTCCAGTTGGACCAGTGCAGAGCTTCCTTCTCAGCGACCGAGGAGAGTAGAGACCAGCTGAGGCGGGAATTGCTGCACACTGAGCGCAATCTCAACCAAACTCAGGACGCAACAGAAAGCCAAAGGAGAGAGAGCATGGAGCTGCGACGCAACCTCGGTGATGTCAGTAAGGAGCGGGACACTCTCAGCCAATCAAACACCCAGCTGAGAGAAAGTCTGCGAAGTGCAGAAACAGAGAGAATCAGGTAAACAGATGAAAGAATGGGAGAGACCATTGGGCAAAAATACAGGTATGTTAGCATCAGTGTGTTTGAGTAAGTGTGTGTCTGTGTGTTTGTCAGCGTGAAACGACAATGTGAGGAGAAGGAGCAGAGGCTCGCTGTGCTGGAGGAGAACTTCTCCTCTGCTCAGAAGGAGGTGGCAGAGCTACGCAGCTGCCTGAGAGAAGTTGAAAGGTCACGTCTCGAAGCTCGGAGAGAGCTCCAGGAGCTGCGCAGACAGGTCAGACACGCCATCACATAACACGCTGGAGATTATGTGCTCATTATGTATTCAGTGTAAACATTCAATCAGTAAGAGCTAAACCACGTTTATCACTTTGAACCACGTTTTCAGGTTTTTCTCGGTAGAGTGACAGCGCTGTGATTTCTGCTTTTCTCGACTGCAGCTGAAGGTCCTGGATGTGGAGAAGGAGCAGAAAGGGAGGGAGGTGGCCGAGCTGCAGACTCGTCTGTCAGTGGAGGAGCAACGAGATGAGGAGAGAGGGAAAGATGTTTTCATCCTCAAACAGAAGTTGAATGAAGCTGAAGCTGCCAAAGAATCTCTCAAAAAAGAGGTGAGGATGGGGGAGGGGAAAACAAGTTTCCGATCACTGATAACTGTCTTCAGACCCATTTTTGCCTCATGAATGCAAATTCTCAGGAACAACTCCAGGGAATCTTTTCCACTTTGGTGCGAATGTTCCACCATTTCTTACAGATGAACTGTGACTTTACAATACATGTTTGTGGTCTTGTGAAAATATTATCTTAGAGCACCTTGAGAGAATCCTTTCAAATTTGGCACAAATGTTTGCTTAAACTCACGGATTAACTGAATAGATTTAGTTGGTCAAAGGTCACTGTGAGCCCTCTCAGACTTGATATCTCTTTAGGGAGATCTGTCACTTGGATTCAAAGATTAACTGATGAGATTTCAGGTTCCAAAGCTTAAGGTTGTGGTGACCTCATATTAGTCTGGAAATTGTTATAGACTGATACTGCACTGGTAGGTGGAGGCATACAACTGCAGGGTGGTAATTCTTGTTCTTGTTATTTTTCACTGTAGCTTTCCCTGATTCAAAAGCGCCTGGTGGAGTCGGAGTCTGGCTGGCGATGCTGTGAGAGAGAGCTGACGGTTCAGCTGCAGGAGGCACGTGGCTGTGAGAAGAAGCTCCAGGATGAAGCTAAGAACCTGTCGCTACGCGCTCAGGCAGCCCAGGACTCTGCTGCTCAGGCCAGCCTGCAGCTGAGCGAGGCCCAGGGCCGCCTGGCCGCCACAGAGGCCGAGCTGACCAGGGCAGAGGCCGGGAGGAGGGACCTGGAGTTTCGTCTTCACAGCCTCCAGTCGGCACTGACGCGAACGCTGGGCATCGGAGCAGCCGGCAGAGGGGGCCGGGGGAGGAGCCCGGTGGGGAGCTCCATATCACCCGGCAACATATCACGCCACCACAGCATCTCACCCCTGCGCTCCTCACTCTCGCCTCCTAAAGGTAAGAATGAAACATGCAGGTTTACATCTGCATCACAGGATTAAGGCTGTTTTCTAGGCCAATTGGGACATGAAGTCCTTCCATTGAGTCCTGGGTCTACCCTGGAGTAGAAGCCCTTTCAAATTCTACTCCGTGCTCCTTTCAGATGTCTGAACTCCTCACCCTATCCTTAAAGCTGAGCCCAGCGTTCCAATTTGAGTTACCTCATTTTGTCTACTCACATTTTTTCAGTCACTACCCAGAGCTCATGGATTGCTAATACAAAAATGTATTCCAACAGCAAATTCAATTAGAATTCAAAGAAGCTGGATAGAATAGCAAGGCACGATGGTTAAAGTGTTTCTTTCCAAACTAAGCTTACGAATGATTCAACACAAAATAAACAAGAAAAACAAGAATAAAATCAATATACAGTTATAATATCACCATTTCAAAACAACAATGGAATTTCATACAGAACATCTAACATGCAAAGCATTAAATTGTATAATTGACCAATAAAAACATGTTTATTTAAACTGTTGCAGGCCTGTCTTCAAGAATAATCTCTTTAGTTTCATCATAATTGTGACTGTTGAGAAACACGACAGACGCCACTAAATCACAGCTCTGTTGCATCAGTCTTTTGGTGACTTAACCAGACCCCTCCTTCCCTCCTGTGGATGTTCCAGCATATAAACAAACAACATTTGCAATTCTTTTTGTCTCATTTTCACAGAATTTCACGTGAGCACCCCTGACAACACTTTAGGCTCAGCGGCTGCATCTCCCGAGAGAGGGGAAACACCGTTGCCTCTTCTTCAGCCGGAGCTGGACCCTGAGACGCTGCGAAGTGGTTTGAGAGACTTCCTCCAGGAGCTGCGAGACACACAGAGGGAGCGGGTACAAGAGCTGCATGACACACTCACCACACACACACTCACCATACACACACTTTTTTGTTTGTTTGTATGATTCAAGTCTTTGTTTCTGGCTGATTTTGAAGGATGATGCTCGATGCCAGCAGGGGGCCCTGCAGCGGGAAATGGAGGAGCTAACACGGGAAAGAGACTCTGCTCAGAGTCGTCAGACTCAGCTTCAGAACACTGTACAAGAATACCAAGAAGGTTCAACTCTTTTACTTTTTGTCCATGTAGACTGAAAATCAAGAAAATCAAGTTCACAAACATTTCCTGTCCAACTGCACATCCATCTACATCGATTATAGACTTTGTATAAAAATGGATGAGATGTCTCCATTTACTCCCATCGTACAAAAATGAAGCTAAAGTATTTTAGATACATGTGACACCATCTTGTATTTTTGACATAATTTGGAATCTGTGCAGTAGTGATCGTGGTGTTGATCCGTTGGTCATGATCCACCCATACACTCGCTCAGCCAATTGCGAGTCAATCTCAGCTGTCAATCGTGACTCTTATATAATTATAACCAAACTTACTAGAAAAATTCACACTTGAATCAGTGTGATGAGAACTATCTAAAATGACAGAAACCATCTTTGGGAAACATTAATTTGACATGCACTTTGATTGTTTAATTTGGTCCATGTCCCATCCACTAACAAGGAGGAGACCAGGTTTATGACCTATACTGCAGGCAGCCACCAGGTGGCATTCATCATTATAAACAGATAGATAGATAGATAGATAGATGGATTGATGGATTGATCTTAACTTGAAACTAAACTAATGGCTACTGTAGATGATGTACATTGTATTGATTGTGTGTGGTTACAGGGAGGCGTGGCCTGGATGAGCGTTTGACCACCACACAGATATTGCTCCAGCAGCAGGAGGAGACGGTGAGGAGAGGAGACAGAGAGAGGAGAGCTCTCAGCGACAGGGTGAAAGACTTGGAGCGAATGCTGCAGGCCTCTGAGACGGACAAAAAACACACACAGGTACACACGTTTGTGCTCTTGTGAGCACGTACACAAACTGCGACTCGCTCAGCGGAGACCACTGACGTCATGATCGCCATATGGCAGCACTCAACAGTAGAAGCAGAGACTGTCAGGGAATGTAAAAACAACAGATGTCTCACACACAGTGTCACACCTCTCGTGGTGTCTCATGTCAGCTCTCCATCTGGCTGTTTTAATGCCAACACCTTTCATAATCATTCACCTTCTGGACCACAGGGGAAACAGGGACTCAAGGTCAGAGTGAGGCTCTCACAGTTGATAAAATTATAGAAATCGGACTTTGAAATATACCCCGACTCCCCTCAATCACTGCAGGATCAGCTGAATAAGCAGCGCGCTGTTGAGATGCGTCTGGAGGCCGAGAGGAAGCGTCTGCGGGAGGCTCTGGAAGCAGCTGAAGCTCGGGCCACCAGGGTGGAGCTGGGGAGGCGCAGTCTGGAGGGGGAGCTGCAGAGACTCAAGCTGAGTCTGGGAGACAGGGAGGCAGAGAGCCAGGCCTCCCTGGACCGACATGACTCTCTACTCAAACAGGTACGACAGGCCCATACATTTTCACAGCTGAATGTTTAATCTGTTAATTGAAACACTCAGTTGGAGACGTTTTTATGTCGGCGACAGCCAGTGGCATTATTTTTTCAGGTTGTCTCCATTCATCCGTCCCAAGCTTTGGGGGAATTTACGCTAATTTTAAAACAAGGTTCAGTTTGACTCGAGGATGAGCTGATTAGATTTTAAATGTCAAAGGTCACCGTGGAAACGCTCCAGGGAATCCTTTCAAATTTGGTGCAAATGTGAACTCATAGATGAAGTAATTTGATTTTGGTGATTCAAAGGTTAAGGTCATGGTGGCCTCACAAAACACAGTTTTAAACATTCTATCAAGTCTTCCTTAAGGGATACAGGAAAAATTATGTAGTCTGAAACTACACTGGTTAGTAGAGGCAAATAAATGCAGGATGGTAAGTGTATATTGTGATATTATACTTGTACCTCAGAAGCGTTGGGCTAAAAGCTTTATCATTTTTTCAGGTGTGTAATTTTGTAATATAATTAATGGGTCTGCTGACTGAATTGCACATGATTTTGATTCAAACTACAGGTGGCAGAGGGAGAAGCCCAGGTGTCTCTGCTACAGAGAGAGGTGGAGAGGCTCAGTCAGGCTCTGCTCAAAGCTCGGGAAGGTGAATCTTTAGTCCGGGAGAAGAACGTCTCTCTGAACCAGAGCCTTCAGGAGGCGGCGGCCACTCACAGCAGCACACAGAGTCGTATGGTCGCTCTGCAGAAGACACTAAGCATGGCCGAACAGGACAAAACACTTCTACAGGTGAGCGAAACAGAAGGGAAAAACGTCCAGACACAATTAGGGTGAAAAGTGGTGATGGTAAGTGATGATCGCTCTTTGCCACTAAGGAACGAACGGATGAAGTCCGGGCCTCGTGTGGGGAAGCCAGGAGGAACATGGCCGCCCTCACTGAGCGTGTGCAGAGCCTGCAGAGTGACCTGAACCAGAGCGAGATGAGACGAGAGGAGCTGGAGGCTGAGCTCAGCAACGCTCAAGAGGTGAAGATTTTCTCAAAACAAAATCTGTTCAGATCAAACCTTCAGCACAGGACCTGTGCTCATTGGCTCATGGCTCATTGTAGATGATTCAGAGTGCAACTTCTGCCTCGACTGTTGACGCCATTGTTTGTGTCTTCCCTTTGTTAGGCTCTGCGTCAGCGCTCCGCCGCCCTGGTGGAGGCTCAGCGCAGCGCCCAGTCAGCTCAGACAGAGCGAGTGGCTGTGGAGGAGAGACTGCGTGGGCTGCAGCGAGCGGTCGCCATGCTGGAGACGGAGAAGAAAGACGCTGAAAGACAGGCTGTGAGGCTGGAGAAGGACAAGAACGCGCTGAGGAACACTCTCGATAAGGTCAGCAGATCTTCACAAAGAAACTTTTGTGATTTAAAAGTCCATGAACTTTCTGGAAACATGTTGGAATGATACGTGTTTACAATAGGACAGTGAGGAGGTCTCTCAAGAGTTTTTATCACAGTGTGCTTTTAAGGGTGCAGCTCCCCAGTCATTTAGATGCATTAAATATTTTGTTGTGTCATTTCAAACAGATGTAAAGGATTATTGTGAATCTCTGTCCTCATCTGAGCTTGTCACCAGTTTTCATGCTATGAATTTTTTTTTGCCTCTTTGAAAAAACATTTGTGTTACAAAGTGCTTTACAATGGCAGCACAATAAAATGTACTAGTCCTAAAATAATCAGCTTCAGGTTTTCACAGCTTTTTTGCTCTAGAACTCACTCCTCTCTTGTTTGTTTTTGTGCACCTGTGATTAGGTGGAACGTCAGAAGCTGAAGACGGAGGAAGGCAGCATGAGACTGTCTGCAGAGAAGAGTCGTTTGGATCGCTCTCTGAACACAACTGAACAGGAGCTGCAGGAAGCACAGCAACAGATACTGATGCTGCAGGTGGGGAGCACACGCTGATCCTCATTACACTGACTGACTGGTCCTCAGTGGGACTTATAAACACAGAAACCTCTCAAAAGTTCTATCAGAGTAAATCAGACCTGCTATTAACGTCCATCCTGCGAGTTCTGATCATAAGTGCACAACGTTCAGCAGGTGTGATCGCTCCCCAGACACATCGAGGACACATTTGAGATCCAATCACTCAGAACACATTCTGAGGTGGTCAGGGACACATAGGCCGACATTCTTTAATCAGTATGAACCCAAATGCATCCTGGGCCACATATGAAGAAACCAACTACTCAGCTGACATCCTCTGACCTGCTACAATTTCACAATGAATCAAAGGTGTTTTTACTCTTCTCAGGCCACCTCCACAATATCACGACTGACCCCCATATAATGATTGATACAATGTTCAAATGGATAAAATGTCATTCCATAGTAGAGCTGTGTACAGATCACTGATTAATTCAGCCCCTCCTGAGTCCACTCTCTCTCCCCCTCTGTTTATCTCTCGCTCGTGCCAACATACTGACACACACACAAATACACACAAACACACTGACAACAGACCCATCTGTATGTTCAGACTGGCTGAAAAGACCTCATTCATTCATTAGAGTTGATACCAAGTGTGAACAGATGAACTTAACGCAGACCACTTGTGATTGGATCTCTCAGGACGGATGTTAATACGAGGTGTGTACGGGGATATAGTGACAGCTGGACTTGTCACAGACTTTGTTGTCTTAGCTGTTGCTTCACACCTCCGCCGGGGCGGTGAGCTTGTGCACATCCTGGAGTCCATTACCTTTTACTGAAGGACAAAGCCAAACATGTTTTACTGTGAAGAAAACGTCTTAAACATGACAAACAAACTCCGGAGATTGAACTTTATATGTTTTTGTGGTTTATATATTTATATATCTTTCCCTTTCAAACACAGCTGCCACATAATCTACTGTTCAGGGTGTGAGAGACTGGCTCAAGTAACAAAGGACTTTGCATGAGAATGGGGTTTAATGAGATGAACATTACAGCTCAGTCACACTAGATATATTTAGTGTATCAAGTATTTTTTTGGTATTTAATCCTCATAAAGTTTCAGTAGATTTAATCATAACACTCCGAGGTGTCAAGTGACGTCAATGTAACATTAAAGACCCTGCTTTGTACATCTGCTTCCTGTTAGACATCAAACATTAGCAGTCCGGACTTGTTTTTCTCTTATTCTTATTTTTGCACCACTTGTTCTTTTTACTGCTAGAAACACGTCTGGGAGTTGACACCAAAAAATAATGAGTTCTACCAAAGCAGTTAGTGAGATGTTTCTGGGGAGGCTTCATTTTTGGTGTTCTATGCAGTGGGTTTCATAAGAATGTAGAGACAGTCGTTATAGTTGTTAATGTCAGACTGACTTTACGTCTCAGACTTTTTTCATTTCTCCTGACTTAGTGTGTCCCTCAGAACGCTCAAGTATGTGCTGCAGGAAACCAGTATAATCTGATTATAAAAAAGGAGAACAGTAAAAACATAATAATAACCTCATGGTATGTTTTTATCTTGAAATTTGCAATTTGTTATTACTCACAAAAACATGATGATTTGAACTAAAGCATATCATCAATATGTGAGGAGAATTTAAATTTAGTCCTTTAACCAGAAATCTGAAAACAACATTCATATCACATCACATCACATATTCAGACCAATAAAAAGCCCAGTTTTTAATTGTAGCAGAAAAAACCCAATCGATTAATGATATTTACTCCTAAATCTAAATGTCTAAATATTAAATGTGCTTATGAGTAGAATGTAATGTAAAACAATTAGCTTTGATAACTATGTTCAGACCTTCTCCTTCTTTATTCTTAAATGTATACTAGTAGCAATAACATTTCATACTGAGTGTGTATAAGTATTTTATCAATTGCAGAATTTCAAGTTCTTTTTCTATTCATTTAAATTTCCAAAACAATATGAAGTCACCTCCAGAATCAGTTTTACCTCAATGTGAGCAGCAAGTTACATATAATGTTTTTTACGGTGACATTGACATTGTTCCAGAAAGACTAAGGTTTAGTGAAACTCCAGAAAAATGAACTGAGTTACACCCGTATTCCAGCCAAACTCTGCTTGATGTTTCAACTTCTCTTGTATAAACTTTCTACCCTTCTCCGTGTGTGTGTGTGTGTGTGTGTGTGTGTGTGTGTGTGTGTGTGTGTGTGT